AAAACGAAGAAGTAACTTTCGTTGGGCAAATCTGGTACCTAGGGGCACGTCGCAGAGCTAGTTCCCAGTTTTGAGAAAAATTGTTTCACATAGAAGAGAGGTCACGGACGTTTCAACCTCAAAAGTTATTTTTGAAACCAAAATTTCAATGCTTCTTCGCGTCGCGGACCCATCCTCATATTTCTATTTTTTTTATATTTTCTCATGTTTAGGTATCTAAAATTATTCCTAAACATCATGAGATCATTCCTATTGCAAATCACGACCCTTGAATCCATAATTCAATTCAAGGAAAGTTAAGAGTTAAGTAAAGAAGTCAATATAAGTTCTTAAGAATTTCATAAGTCTTTCACAAACGTTTTAACTTTGTTTTAAGACTTAAGTTTCAAGTTAAACAAAGAGTTCAGATTTGAAGTTCATTTCTTCAAAGAAGTATATGAGAACTAAGTATTCTCTAGAAGTTTAAAAATTTTCACATTTATATAAGAATGGAAATTGAGATATTCAAAGAGTCTTTAGCCAGTTTTCAGAAAAGAGGATATGCTTTCATAATAAAGCAAGAAGGGCAATTATGATTTCCAAGGTAGCCTTTTTTAGCATTAAACTCAAATCACAAAAGGATGTATATTTTTAAAACATAAGAGCTAAGATAATATTTTTTGAAGTATTATTGAGCACCAATATCGGGGAGAGTTCAGACAACTCACAACCCCCATAAACCATGTAGCCACAATGGGTAGAAAATGGTAATACTTTTTACATGATTTCTTTAGCGCTTTTTAGCATAGACTAGTGGATCCACTTGAAAGTTAAGGTTCTATACTTATGGCAAGGTATAGGACGATCCTGGATACTTGAGGCAAAACGTTGTATCATCACTATAGCTCTTATGTGATGATTGTCGGTTAGAGAAACTCTCACATAAGTAATTACATTACTATAGACATAATTTGTTTGTATATTTACATACATCTCAGAGTTTTATTGTATCTTTGCATACATACAAAGCTGATATCATGTTTAAATAGATTTTCTTTATATTGCACTTTCTTTAAAATCGCTTTATATTGAAATGAGTTCAGTTGAGTCAGGTAAGTTATTCAGATTGCTTTCAAGCCTATGTTGTGTTAGCATTCCAACTCGCATGTTCGTACATTTAATGTACAGTTTCCAGTTGGTCTACATCTTATTATGATATAGACATAGGTTACTAGGATTGACAATCAGTGCATCGTTGATTCAGTAAGCATTTCAGAGGACTCCTTTTGTTGCTTTCAATTTTATTTTCAGTTCATTAGTATGTTGTGGGGTTTGTTCCAACATCCATCTATGTTGTTTTAGAGTCTTCAGAGATAGTAAGATAATTAGTTATGAGTCTTTTCGCTTTGTGTTTTAATTTTTTTGCTATGAGACTTGAGTATCCATTTTTGGCTAGTTTGAATGCTTTGTTTAAAGATATTCCAAAAATTTTCATAACTTCTTTATTTGAGGTTATTTCTGATATTTTTCATTGAGTAAGTAATTCAAACCAAGAGTTCGCTTGGGGCCAATAATGGTTCTCGAGTGGCATTCCAGCCGAGGGTGTAGGCTTGGGGCGTGACAAACTAATTGTCATTAGAATGTCTCAATAGAATTTAGGGACATTTATAGAGAGTACTTATTGCCTTTGAATATACATATTAGTGACAGTTGAACTATTCATTTTCATTTAAGATCATTTTTGTCGTAGTGATATTTCTTTCTTTTGACTTCTTTCAATTGATTTTGTGAACTGTAAGCTTGGATACAACTTGAGAGACTATCTTTTTGAAAAATATGTTAAGCAACATATTTTTCTTCTTGGTTGTTAGGAAAGTAAGATCGTCTTTGTTATTATTATTTGTGGATATTTGTGAGCTCAAGTGGTCACAAACTTATGATGTGAGATTTTAATATCTTATATATCAAAATTTAGATTTAGAATATTCAGTCATGTTTCCTTTAGATGCCACCTACTGCTTGGTTGATCATTGCATTAATTTTTTGTTACTACATACTATAACCATAACAAGAACTAGGATTGAATTCAAAATAAATTGGAACCGTTGATATGAAACCTAAGCAATAACAATAACTATTCTAGACAATGAGAATTTTTTTAATGATATTAACAATTTTAGGGTCATTTTTAACATATACATGATACAACATACTATAATAATAAAAAATATTGATGGAGGTTCATAAGAAAGAAGTCGAAGGCCCTTCATTTGCATTTTGTTAATTATGTTCTTATAGGAACGTGATGTCCCACATTACTTTGGAGTGTTGTTGTTTGAAGCTTTTTGATGTCTTCTTTATAATTCTTATATTGTTCTTTATAACTTCAAATTTTTGACCAACTATTTGCGTGAAGATTTTCTTAAATTTCTTTCTTATACATAAAATCTCCTTATTACTCATTCACTATAAGATTTGGAGAAACCTTTGTCTTAAGATAAAATATTCTTGACAATGTAGTGTATATATAAAAAATACGAATATTATCAAATTATCACATGTAAGCAAAGTAAAATAGGTCAATCCCGTGTGAATCACACGTAACTTATCGTGTGTGCATTGCCCTTTTATATAAGCCAACAAAAAAAGACTAACACTGCAATACTTATTTGTACAATATGTTGCGTGAGTTGTACTATGAATGTGGACCTATTTTAGTGGCATTTTGTCTTTTAATGATCTATATGCTTAACACGTGTATTCCAACCTTCACTTTTTCTCTCTCCGGCTTTCTGCCCCTTTCCCTCTTAAAATTTGCTTTTTCCGCTCTTAGTTTTCCTCACTTTCTCATCATCTTCTTCAATGAGCGGTGAAATCTACTGGATATCATAAGTATTTTTTTTGTTTTATACCCTATTTTGTTGATGGTATGTTCAATTATTTTGATATTGATTTTCAATTCCGATATAGGTGTATCCCCTGGATTCAACAAGCTCTATTAGTAAAAAGCAAGGAGCTAGAAACTACCAACGATTTTTTTTACGATTAAACCCAACACAATAGAATATTAGGACGAAGAAGAATCAATCTATATTTTCTCCTCTTCTTCCCACAAGAACTCATGAGAAATATATAGATAAGAATAAGTAAACTACTGACGTCTCAACAAAAGTTACAAATAGGAGAATGAATGTCATCAATACATTGAGGACAATTTATTTTGGGCAATTGAAGACTCCTAATTTTGAAAAGGAAACATTGCAACATCCATATTTTTGACCAACAATATCAATATAATTTCCAATAATGTAATGTTATTTATAGAGAGGAAATATTAATAAAATAATATTATCTTCCAAATATAACAAGATATAAAATAGTTCTTATATATATATATATATATATATATATACATTTACTCTCAATTGAGAAGTTTGGGACATGTTTGGTGTTTCTTCCATTAATCATCCGGATCTACGCCATATATCAACAGATTATGATTTCGAGGGTCATCCATTTTTCAGTCTTGAATTCAATTATATGAGGAAACCAGAACTTTTTATTAGTCACGCATAACTACCCTTTGAGATATTTGTTATCTGGTGTACTATTTTTTTTCTATTCCTCACTATACGAATTTTTTTTAAAATTTATTGATGCCTCTTGCTTTCATCATTCTATTGATTTTCATACTGTAATCTTTTAACACTTCTTATCGTGCTGGACCAATAGAGTGATACTGTTTCAGTTGCGAGGTTCAGTTGATCTTTAGGTAATTGAATTGTGTATTTGATTTGAAGCACTCTCCATATCTTTTTCATACATGTAAGAGAAAAACATAAAATTACTAATAAGAGCTAGATGTTTGATACGGTTAGCACCTATAATTTATTATATTATTTCAATTTCATTTGGTCATATTTTGCTAGCACTATTCAACTGTAAGTAGTTTAGCTTATCATTTATTTTGAGGCATTTTAAAAAAAAAATGAATAGCAAGAGGACCAACCAAATGGATGTCATTCTCTGGTAATGTATTGCAACAACGGTTCACAAGTATATCTTTTATGGTATTTTTATATCAAAAGGTATGTTTGGAATTTTTTTCCAGGTAATTATTTGTCCATTGCTCTCAAATGGTTCTTGCTTCACACTACCTCTGATGATATCAACATTCGTGCATTTACCTTGTAATTTTGTCACATTTGAATTTATACTTCTCATATATAATCATGACGGACAAGAGAGTTATTTAGGTAGCTACCTTGTCTTTTTGAGAGAAAGTGCATGGAGCAAGTCATTCCAAAGAAATATTACACTCTTTCGTGCTACGGATGCAAAGCTTCTTGCCACCATGTTCGTGAACCTAAGAACTTTTCGTTTAGCTGTAAACTCAAAATACATATTCAAAGCTTCTTGTCACCTTTGTGACAAAAATTTGCAGAGTGGTCAATCATTTTTGAGCTCCCTTCTGACATCTAACCATGTAAAGTTGTAAGAACACCTTTGGTGCATCGTAACTCAGAGGTTTCATTTTTTGTTTTTGCTTCTCTATCAAAGAGACTTGTAATGAAAATCATAGCATATCGAATCATTCAGTCATTCCTTCTAGATACTATTAAAATATTATTTAAACATGTTATGTAATCAACATGTTGCGTGGGTCACATCGAGAGAGATATTTTCATGTTATTTTTTAAAGTAATTTTTTCATCTTAATAATTTTTAAATAATACATATATAATTTATATGATTATACATAAAATTGTTAGTTTTTATAAATATTCGAAAAAAATCTCACAAAGTTTTGTTTCTTAATTAAATGTTTTTTATTTAGTTTTGTTTAATTTAAAATATATTTTATATTAGTTCATTTATATTTAAGTTAATAATTTTATCTTGATAAAATTAATAAGCTTATTAATTAATTAATATTAATTTGTCCTATGCGTTGAATTCTCTAATTAACTCAATATGGCTATACTGTCAAAATTTTAATCCAAATAGTCATCTTCCTTTTATTTACACTCTTCACTCTCCATCATCATCTTTTTATTCTCCTAAAGAAACATTGAAGATTTAGCAGAAGAAAGAATAAAAAGAAGAAAGAAGGGGAACAAAGATCTTTGACAACTTTCAGAAAACCTAGATCCTTCAATACTTATCTGAATATGACATGGAGTAATCTAAACCTCTCATCAGAAACGATACGGGTCAAATGTGAACCGTTGGACTAATCAGTCTAGAATAATGGACTCATATGTCAGCCATGTGATGGAATAATAGTTTGTTACATATGGTTAGGTTCTTTACAAATTAGAAGGTGACATGTGTATATTGTTATCGCTTTATTTTTTTTATTTTATTCAATATTTATGCTTGTATATATACATGGTATTAGATATGAATAGACATTCAGAAATTTTCCCCAAAAACTCTACAATTTTTTTCATCCTTGTGGAGCATTCTGGTGCCTCTTCTTCCTTCTCTAGAGATCAAATGGCTCATATTTTCAATCTGTTCATAATTGTATAATATCAGTACAAATCCAGCTCTTCTACCTTATCCAAGGTATTTAATTTCAAATTCCATTGCAATTTCCATTAATATTTTCCCACAATTTTGACCTAATCTTCCTTCTATAACCCCTCCCCCTCACTGTTTAGAGAATTCTTTTGAAAGGGGGAAACAAAATTTTCATTCAAGACGAAGAACACACTCATAATTTGTCAACATCTATTCTAAGAAGAGAGGTTTGTGGGTTTTAGATTTTGTCTGGGATTTAAAAGCTTTCTCAGGCAAAGCTCTGCGTTCGTGCTAGTTAAATATATTCCTCTCTTCTCGTTGTCTCCTGCTCGCTGCTCTACAAATGGCTATTTTTTGACTTAAGTTATTTGTTGAGTTTCCATATAATCTTTTTTGTCTTAATTGTGATTGCTTAAAATTCAGAATCTAGCCTTTGAAATCTTGTGTTAGCTATAGATTAACCTGATTAATTTAAATTTGCTAGCTTGAAATGGAAGTTGAATCAACCAACTATATGTTCGACAAAGCACAAGCAAATCTAAATTAAATGAAATGACTAATCTAGGTTTTTTGCGTGCATTGTTTGTCATGTATTGATGTGCTGAATTTGATGATCTTTGCCAATTATGTAATAAAGGTTCAAATATATCTGATAGTTACCTTTTACAGTTTATTACTTCAATTTTGTCATAAGCTTTGTTAGACAACAAGACCCTCTATTTATTTCGCATTGTATAGATTTTAACATGATTACTTCATGTCTTTGTTATTTAAATTTAATATTTACATAGTCAAATTATCTCTCCATTCCCTTTACAAATGTTTATTCTTTTTTTATGCATAAACTCCCTCTGATTGAGTTCATTGGACATCTTTCCTCTTCTTGCATTTCGGGTTCGGTTGAAACCCAACACCCCTCTTTGGGTCAGCCTCACCACTCCTTCAAAGAAAAAGGAAAGCAAATCTAGAGGTTTCAGAAGCTAAAGTACATAAGATGTTCAGTAGATACAGATTTATACAAGCAATGCAAACAAAAAGGAAATAGGCTAAACCCATAAATTTCAGCAGTACAAAAATGGGCTTAAAAAGCCTAAATGAGGCAGCTTCATTATAATTTAGGAAAAGTTGAAGAATGAGCCTATTAGTTCAGCAATCTTAACTTGGGTAACTATCCACTTTTACTCTCTCCTCTGCTCCACATTTTTATTATTCTTATTTTGTATTAACTCTAACTTTAGTTGTTTTAGATTAATTAAATTTTCTTGAAGATGAACCAAAATTGGTTTGTATTGATTTAGACTAATGTTACAGCGTTTATTTTTTTCTTTTTTTAAATCAACTTTTCCCTTAAATAACTTTAAAATATTTTTACCTTAATTATTTTTTAAGTTTCTCAAATAATTTTCAAATCACCAGATAACTGTGTGTTAGCGGACATTTCAAGTGTTTTAAAAACCTTCTTAAAGTGTAAATAAGAACCCTATACCTTTTTCTCTAAAATAATTTAGACATAATTTTACTGAAGTCTTTAGAGTGAAGTTTTCTAAATTTTCTTAAAAGATCAAGTGGCGACTCTATTTCTATATATACGTATTATTTTCTTAAATTGTTTTTCTAAGTAAAATCGTGACATAACACTAATGGTCGGGAAAAATTGTAGAATGGAGTTATGCTTAAAATGATTCTTATGTATGAATTGTCCATTTTCTATTTTATAAACATATTCATTACTTTATTTTTTGTATGAGTATCTTTCACAACGAAAGATAAAAACTTCAAGATATATTTTAATTTTATTCTAATATATAATTTGCCAAAACATATGCTTATGCAAAACAAATTTATCACTTGGTACCAACAAGTTTTCCTTCTTTTTTTTTTTGTAATTAATAATTCTTTTTAGAAGTAAGAAGTGAATTGGTGAGGAGTCAAAAAGTTTTCGTTCTTATTTTAATTTGGTTTCTTTGTTCGCAGAGAAAGTTGTATAGTTCATGTTAATTAGTGAAACTACTTCTATTATTATCACTATTTTCTAGTTTTGTCTCAAAGGATTGATATATTTTTAAAATTATTTGCTATGCTTCCATTGAAATGAATTATGTATTAGATTGTAGTTAATATTTGCTATGCTTCCATCGAAATGAATTATGTATTAGATTGTAGTTAATATTTGCTGACTTTCATTTATCATTTGATATTTCATTTAGGAAATGTCTTTATTTTTTTCTCTTTTTGTATTGTCCTCTTTATTTTCACCTTCTCCTGTTTCACTATCGACAAGATTCAACTATCGTCAGAACTATTGTTGCCAAAATGTGTGGTCAGTACTGCACTGAACCATTCCATATATGTCTAGTAAAGATCAGATAGGGCAAGTTGGAGTAATTCCCTTGACTTTTAGCAATTGCTGACGACCTCCTCGAGCCATTTATGGCAACCTCTAGGGACATCCGACAACATACAACTCCAATAACAACCAGATCGGGCTTCATCCATACATTTCTAGCGATTTCCAACCATTTTTGCGACCTCCTTAGACTTCTGGCAACATCTAGTAAATCAGATGACACCCAAATTTAATTTTCTTGCTATCTTTAAATCCAACAGTTCTACGAGGTCTATCTCGATATTCTCTTGATCCTTCTCTTTTAACAATGTGTTAGTGATTTTATATCGTAGCCTATCTATATCTTATTTAGAATTTAGTTGCAATATTAATTATTTAAAGCCTGTGGATTTAATAATCTTCCCTTGATTTCTTTCCACGGTATATTATAGCTACTACTAGTGTTAATTTTATTACTGTGTATTAACTAATTTATTGTATCTTCCGTTTGTCATTTAACTTACTTTAGCCTTATTACTCCCAACTGTGGACACGACCCTAGTGTTTTATCTCTTACCGAGGGAACTAAGGCTAATCTAAGTTAAGTGGAAAGCATAAATACAATAAATTATTATTACTGAATGATAAGAACTAACACTAGTAGTGTGCCCCTATACTATACCACAGAAAGAAATCAGGGGAATATATTATGAAATTCATAGGCTTTAAACAACAAAATGTGCAACTATGTTTTGAATAAGATATAGTTAAGTGAAGATATAGAGTCACTAATATATTCTATTTATTCTTCGAAGAGCAAGAACAAGAGAAGATTGAGATAAATCTAGTAGTGATGTGAGGTCTGAATATAGCAAAAACCTATATTTTGGTGTCATTAGATTGCTGGATGTTGTCAGAAGTCCGTGGAGGTTACAAAAAATGGTTGGAAGTCACTAGAAATGGATTGATGTAATCCTATCTGATCTTTATTGGAGTTTTTGTAGGTTGTCGGATGTCCATAGAGGTCGCCATAAATGGATAGAGGTAGCGTAAAATGGGCCAAGGATGCTGGAAATGATTGGAAGTCGCCCTATTTGGTCTTTACTGGATTGATCCGGCACGGATCTTTACTAACCACACTTTTTGGAAATAACCATTCCCACGATAGTTGGATTTTGTTGGTGGTAGAGGGTACATAATGCAAAAAACGAAGAGGATAATACATGAGGGAAAGAGATCCAAGATTGTCTTAATGAAATAGAAGATGATTAAAAGAAAATCAACAAATATTGACTATAGTCTAATAAAGAATTAATTCATTTATGTGAAAGCATAAAAATATATAAAAGTGATTCTTTGAGAAAAAACTAGAAATCATGATAGAAGTAGTTTCACTAATTGACGTGAACCATAGAGTTTTCACTGAAAAAGAGAAATCAAATTGAAACAAGAATGTAAAATATTTTATTCCTCAGCTATTCACTTCTCAAATAAGTGATTAAAAAAATACACGTAAACACATGTTTTAACAAGGTATATGTAAGGATATAATTATACTCTTTCCGTTTAAAAAAGAATGACCTCCTCTTTTGGTAACATTTTAATTTTTCACATGACATGTTTAAGGCCACAAGATCAAAGGATAATTTTGTACTTTTGATCTAACTTTAATTTAGAACCACAAGATTAAAAAGTTCTCTTTATATTCTTTAACTCTACGCCAAATCAAATCAAGTCATTCTTTGGAAAGCGGAGGGAGTAATATATTTGTCATTATTTTGTATCTTTCATATGACAGTTACTCATACAAAATATAAACAATAAACATATTTATAAAAGTTTAGTTGCTTGTTTTAAACTATTTTTTCTATAGTGTTGAGTTGGGTCATTTTTTCATTCAGCCAACTTCCATTGGTAGTTAATTTAGTCTATTGAGTCTCGAAATACAATTTTTGGTGGGGTAGTGTATTCATTTTTCACTTGCATGACTCGCAATGAGTCCCAAGGGTCTGTTCGGGAATTCGAATGTTTGTTCCAAGCTGTTGATGAAATCACTCCTTCGATATGCCCGACACACCAAAAAAAGCAAGTGATTTTAGTTGGAAGCCACATTTACAGAGTCTTGTCGATTTGTTGTCATATCTTCCACACTAGCAAGAAAAAGCTTGTACGGGTTGCAATAAATGAGTGTTTGAAGTCCCTCTTATTTTCCAAAACTATCTTATTTTCTGCCCTTTGTTCTTGGGAAGAGAGAAGGTGATTTAAGGTATTTTATTTATTTTTTTTCCATCAATTTTTTTGATGTAGGTATGTTAATTTTGTTCTGCCGTTGACGCAAAGAGAAATAATGAAGAAAATGAATACCGAAAAACGGAAAGGAAAACTGTAACTACAAGGTTAGTCCTGCAATCGGCCTCTACTAGCTAGCCAATCACTGTTTCTTATTTCTAATTTTTTTTTAAAAAAAAAGAACAAGAAGAAGAAGAAAGAAAGTGAAAATATGTGTTTTTTTTAATAGGTTTTGTGACGGGTTATAGTTCATACCAATTGGATCCCGGTCTACTTGAACCATCCGTTTTTTCTTATACCCATAGGTCATCGGATATTTGGATGGAAATGTTGATATGATTTTAAATACGAAGAGGTATGGGATGTGATGGAAAGTTTCAGGTACACATAAAGAAATATCACATTCATCCGCTAGTTATAGAAGTGATTCAATTATCCGGATTCTATAGTGTATATAGATCAAATCAGCCTATAAGTGATCATAGCTTGATCACTTAACTAGTAGAGAGATGGTGTCACGAGATTCATACGTTTCAATTTACGACGGAAGAGACAACAATCACCTTGCAAGATGTAGAAGTGTTGTATGCTTACTTGTGAATGGTAATCCAGTGCTCGGTAATGAGTCAATGAGGACCATAAGAGATTGCAAAACATTTGTCAAAGAAAATAGTAACAAAAACTGAGGCCAAGAACTCCCCTGGAAAGGCGAAGAACTATAATGGAGCGTTTCAGATGTTGCTTAGTATCTAGTATTACAATTTGCGGGTTAGTACTAGAATTAGGAACTTGAGAACAGTGAACTAAATCTGCTAATCTTTGGTGAGAGGCTTATTCTGAAGTTCCACAGTACATTGTACAATGTTTCTGATACCAATAAAAAATTGAGAAAACTTTTAGCATCTATGATATCTACATGCAGACAATTCACAAAAACATGTTCAATTTTCTAAAAAATTAGCTTGATATATGAAAGATATAATGTTCAGAACAAAATTTTATGGCTAACATGATAAGGTGAAAGTGAAGTGAAACTAGATACGTTTTTTTCTGGTGCCTAGTAGACTTCAAGATATGCACATTCACTTGTCTAGGATGATGTTAGGTTGTGGAGCTGATTAATATACAGTTGGTGAAAAATCCAGTCTAAATTTTAGGATTTACTATTTATTCTCTGTAACAAAAAAAATGCTCTAATTTATTAATATAAACATACCTCACCGCCGTGGAAGTTTACTCACGGAGTGTTACCACGAAATATTGAGTTTTCTTTTTCTCTCTCTCTAGATCTCTCATCTCTTTCTATTGAAAGTTCTTGTGTTCTTCATTCATCAAGTGTGTGTGCGTGAATTCGATCCTAACAAATGGTATCACAGCTAAGGATATTCAACACGATCACTAAAGATGGATAGTTCAAATCTTGGAATCGAGAAGTTTGATGGATCCGATTTGAGATGCAGATCGAATATTATCTATACCAGAAAGATCTTCACGAACCGTTGACCGGGGTGAAGCCGGAATCCATGACGGAGGAGAAGTGAAACCTTAAGGATCGCCAGGCTCTAGGGTTGATCCGGTTGACTTTGTCAAAAACGTGGCATTCAACATCGTGAAGGAGAATACTACGTCCGGTCTGTTGAAGGCACTGTCAAACATGTATGAAAAACCATCGGCAATGAACAAGGAATATTTGATGCGTAGATTGTTCAATTTACAGATGTCTAAGAATGGATCCGTTTCTGATCACATAAACGAGTTCAATATGATTGTGAGTCAACTCAATTATGTGGATATTAATTTCGAAGATGAAATTAAGGCATTGATTTTGATGTCATCTCTGCCGGAGTCTTGGGATACTGTTGTTGCGATTAGCAGATCTGAGAAGCTGAAGTTTGATGAAATTTGTGATGTTATTAGCGAAAGTATTCGCAAACGAGAAGTGGGAGATTCATCGGGCAGTGCTCTCAGCATTGACAGAAAGGGGAGAAGTAAGACGAAAGGCCAAAATCAACATGGTCGATCAAAATCAAAGAATCGAGGAAATTCCCTGAACAGATCAAACGTGACTTGTTGGAATTGTGGAGAAAAAGGGCACTTTCGGACGAATTGTACAAAGCCAAAGAAGAAAAAGAATCAGAAATTTGGAGATGACAATGATTCTGTAAATTCAACAGAGGATATTGGGAATGCTCTAATCCTTAGTGTAAACAACCCGGTTGAATCATGGATTTTGGATTCTGGTTCATCTTTCCATTCGTCTCCAAGCAAGGAGTTGTTCCAAAATTTCAAATCTGAAAATTTGGGAAAGATGTATCTTGCTGACAATAAAGCCTTGGAGATTGAAGGAAAGGTGGATGTTTGCATAAAGACCACATCGGGAAACCAGTGGACATTGGAGGATGTCAGATATATTCCTGGGCTCAAGAAAAATCTGATCTCTGTTGGTCAGTTTGATAGCACGGGATATGCAGCAGAGTTTGGGAAAGGTTCGTGGAAGATGTGAAAGGTGCTATGGTAGTAGCTTGTGGCACCAAATCTAGAACCTTGTACACCACTGCAGGGTGTATTAACATGGCCGTTGTTGCTGAAGGTGCTTCCGGTTCATGTATGTGGCATAACAGACCTGGACACATGAGTGCTAAAGGAATGAAGATGCTGGTTGCAAAAGGAGCATTAGAGGGTCTGAAGTCTGTTGATATGGGTCTTTGCGAGAGTTGAGTTATGGGAAAACAGAAAAGAGTAAGCTTCACAAAGACTCCTAGAGAGCCAAAGAAGTGTGGTTGGAAATGGTCCATACAGATGTTTGGGGACCATCTCTAGTATCATCACTTGGAGGATCTAGATTCTATGTTACCTTCATTGATGATTTCAGCAGAAAGGTATGGGTTTACTTTTTGAAGCATAAGTCAGATGTGTTTGCAACTTTCAAGAAGTGGAAAGCTGAAGTTGAGAATCAGACCGGTTTGAAAGTCAAATGCCTAAGGTCTGACAATGGAGGAGAGTATGACAAATCAGAGTTCAAGGCATTCTGTGCAGCTGAGGGAATCAGATTGATGAGAACAGTTCCTGGTAAGGCAAGTCAGAAAGGAATTGCTGAGAGGATAAACAGAACATTGAATGAGCGTGCAAGGAGTATGAGGATACACTATGGGATGCCCAAAACATTTTGGGCGGATGCTGTGAGCACAACTGCATACTTGATCAATAGAGGACCGTCAGTTCCTTTAGGGTTCAAGATTCCAGAAGAGGTGTGGACAGTAAAAGAACTCAAGTACCCACACTTGAGAACTTTTGGTTGCACTGCTTATGTTCATGTTGATCGAGAAAAGAGAGACAAGCTTGATGCCAAGGCTATGAAGTGTTACTTCATAGGCTATGGTTCTGATTTGTTTGGTTACAGGTTTTGGGATGACAAGAACAGAAAGATCCTGAGACATTGTGACGTGACATTTGATGAGTCTGTCCTATACAAGGACAGAGAGCAGAAGGCTCTAGAGATTACAATGTAAGTTGGAGTTGAGGTTGAGTTGGATAAGAGTAAACCCAGACATGTCGAAGCAGATACTCTACCAACTCCTACTGAAGAATCTGAAGTAGAGTAAGTTACACCTAAGAAGGTGTTAAGGAGATCATCAAAAACCATCAGGGTACCAGATAGGTATTCACCTTCATTACACTATCTATTGCTGACTGAAGAGGGGGAACCAAGAGTCTTTTGATAAAGCCTTACAAGTGGAGGATTCGATCAAGTGGGAACAAGCCATGGATGATGAGATGTGGTCACTTGAGAAGAACGACACATGGGTGTTGACTGAGTTACCTGCAGGGAAGAGAGCTTTGCTGAACAAGTGGATGTTCAGAATCAAGATTGAACCAGATGGAAAAAGAAGGTTCAAGGATCCTTTAGTGGTTAAAAGATATTCACAAAGGAAAGGTATTGATTATGCTGAAATATTTTCTCCTGTTGTGAAGTTAACCTCTATTCGAATTCTGTTGAGTATTGTTGCATTGGAGAATTTGCATATAGAGAAAATGGATGTAAAAATAGCGTTTTTACATGGAGATCTGGACAAAGAGATTGATATGCAGCAACAGGAAGGATTTGTGGTTCCCGGCAAGGAACACATGGTGTGCAAGCTCACCAGGAGCTTGTATCGACTAAAGCAAGCACCACGGCAGTGGTACAAGAAATTTGACTCCTTCATGATCAAGAGTGGATTTTGCAAAGCTGAAAAGGATCCTTGTTGCTACTTCAAGACATACACTGATTCATATGTCTTTCTACTCTTGTATGTGGATGATATGTTGATTGCAGGATCTAGTATGAGGGAGATTAGAAATCTGAAGACAAGGTTGTCTGCAGCGTTTTGGATAAAAGATTTGGGTCCATCGAAGCAAATTTTGGGGATGAAGATTTCTCGGGATAGATCTGCTGGCACTTTAAATCTATCTCAGGAGTTGTACATTGAGAAGGTGCTGAGTAGATTCAGGGTTAATGATGCTAAACCCAGGACTACTCCATTGGCAAATCACTTTAAATTGTCAAAGGAGCAGTTACCCAAGACTGCCGAGGAGCGTGATCACATGACACTTGTTCCATATGCTTCAGCAATTGGTAGTTTGATGTATGCTATGGTCTGCACTAGACCTGATATAGCACATGCACTAGGGGTTGTTAGCAGGTACATGGCGAACCCCTGGGAAAGAGCATTGAGAAGCTGTGAAGTGGCTTCTGAGATATCTGAGAGGTAAATCCAGTACTTCACTTTGTTTTGGCAAAGGCAAGGTGACTCTACAGGGTTTTGTGAATGCTAATCTTGGTGGGGATGTTGACTCGAGCAAGAGTACATACGGGTACATCTACACAATAGGTGGAACTACAGTGAGTTGGATATCCAGGCTTCAGAAGTGTGTTTCTCTTTCATCTACTGAAGCTGAGTATGTGGCAATAGCTGAAGCTGGGAAAGAGATGATATGACTGGCAGATTATCTGGAGGAATTGGGTAAGAAGCAGAGAGAGAAGATTCTTTACTCAGATAGCTAGAGTGACATACAGTTGGTGAAAAATCCAGTCTATCATTAGAAGACAAAGCACATCAGAAGGCGATACCATTTCACTCGCAGGGTAGTGGAGGATGGTGATATGTGCTTGGAGAAGATAGAGGGTGCAAAGAACCCGACAGACATGTTGACGAATGTGTTGATGTTGGGAAACTAGGGTTATGCAAAACCTCGGTTGGTCTTCTGTAGTTGTTTCTACAGATGTTGCGGTGCGGTAAAGATGTTGATGATGAAGAGATTTTTCTTGAGAATGTATTTTTTGGATGACTGAGTCAGTCTCCAAGTGGGAGAATTGTTAGGTTGTGGAGCCTGATTAATATACAGTTGTTGAAAAATCCATTGTAAATTTTAGGCTTTACTATTTATTCTCTGTAACAAAAAAAAATACTCCGATTTATTAATATAAATATACCTCACCGCCTTGGAAGTTTACTCACGGGGTGTTGCCACGAAATATTGGGTTTTCTCTTTCTCTCTCTCTAGATCTCTCATGTGTTTCTATTGAAAGTTCTTGTGTTCTTCATTCATCAAGTGTGTGTGCGTGAATTCGATCCTAACAGATGATACAATGATAGATGCAATTATAGATGCAATATAATAAATAGAATATTATTTATTCTTGGGTAAATTCATGTAGGTAGCATTTTGTTGCTTCTTTTGAATAGCGTCTATGATACATATCAAAATGTCATGGTACTACATTAAACATGGAAAGAAAAAAGTAAATTTGTTTACCAGTTATGTAACCTTCCTCGCAGCTGTAGGTCAAAATTCAATAATTCGACATCCATTAGCATTGAGCTAGTGTTATAATATTTGATAGTTTCATTGTGAGTAATGTTC